AGTGAGGTTGGCTCAGGATCGAACATTGTTTCGTTCTGCTGTGCATGGGGTCGCTATGAGTCGGTTCCGACTCGATGGCACCTGACAACAACAACAACAAACAGTGCAAATGTGCTGGTGATGAACTCTTTCCACTTCTGTGTATGTCTGAAAATAGCTTTATTTTTCTCATTTTTAGAATTTAGAATTTTAGGTTGACAGTTTTCTTTTCATATTTTAAAGATTAAAAAGAATCCATTTCTTGCTTGTATTGTTTTTGAGAAGAAACCTGCAATTATCTTTGTCTTTCTTCTTTTCAATATAATGTATCCCTTTTTTCCAGTTGCTTTTAAGGTTTTCTTTTTATTCCTGATTTTGAGCAGTGTGATTTAAAAAAAAAAAAAAATTATGTTCTTAGAGCAGTTTGAGGTTTATAGAAATATTGTGAAGCTAGCAAGAGAAGTTCTTGTTTGTGTCCACCTCCCTACACATCATATCTCCTAATAACATATTTCATTCCTGTGATTCATTTGTTACCATTGATGAACCAATACTGATATATATTTTATGAACCAAAGTCCATAGTTGACATTGGGGTTCACTCTTTGAGTTTGGACAAAGGCTTAATGTCATGTGTCCACCATTACAGCAGCACACAATTCACGTACCTTGCGCTCCACCTAGTCTTACCATGCTTGGCCCACTGGCAACCACTGATCTCTTCACAGTCTCTGTAGTTTTGCCTTTTGCGGAATGCTGGGCAGTTGGAATCATGTAGTATGTAGATTTGTCTGACTGGCTTCTTTCATTTTCAGCCGCATGCATTTGAAAGTTCTTCCATGTCTATTCTGGCTTAAAGCTCATTTCTCTTTATTACTGAATAAATGTTCCATTGTCTAGATATACCAAAGTTAATCCATTTTATGTGTTAAAGGACATCTTGATTTCTTCCCTTTTTGGGGGGGCAATTCTGAATAAAGCTGTTATAAACATTAACGTACAGGTTTTGTTGTAAACAAAGTTTTGATCTCATTGGCACACGACCCTCCCCACCACTTGTGTATACAACAGTCTTCTGGAATCTTCTTTCACTAAAGGAGAACAGTATTCCCGATTATGCTAACATTTCTAAAATATATCTGTAAATAATACAGGGTTTTGTTTTGGTGTTTTTTTTGCAACACCAATCATGATTCGTTGCTTGGTGCTAGAATTGTTGCTGATCCATACAATGATTTGGACTTGTTTAGCAAAGAAGGAAATTCATGTTGGGAAATAACTAATAGTGCTTGCCATTGTTGTTGTTACATGCTGTCAAATTGGTTCCAGTTAGGAAGAGTGGCTTGGTGGGTTTGAACCACCAACCTTGAGGTTAGCAGTCTGGTGCTTATCCATGTATCTTAAATTATTGAGAGTTTCTGAGGTAGGCACAACTGTGTCATAGTTGGGTACTTGTCATCCACTGATTTCTGTATAAAATCACAAATAAGTAGACTTTTGCTCCTTTCTACATGTCTCTTTCAAAAAAGTCTTCGCTGGAGTTCTTTGTGCACTAAAGGTCCTAAACTTTGAAATCATTTAATTATTTCTATAAAATTAAAAAAGAACCTGTTTCCACTGAGCCCGCTCCTACTGATGGCACCCCCTTGTGTTACAGAGTGAAGGGCTTCATAAGATGTTCTTGGCTGTCATCTTGCCAGGCCTGCCTTCTGCAGAGTGGCTAAGTGGGTTTGAACCGCCCACCTTTAGTTAGCAGTCGATTGCAAGTCACAGACCACATAGGCTCTACCCATCTCTCTACCAAACCTCCACCAAACCCACGGCCATCCAGTCGATTCTGACTCAGACCTTGTGTAATGTCCTGTGCAGAGTTTCTGGGGCTGTACACCTTTACCAGAGCTGAAAGCCTCATTTCTTTCCTAAAATCTTCTCTATAGTATGTTTTAAATAGAACTGGAATCGATTAGAAAGGAAAAACTGGATCCTAGAGACTCCACTGGCAGAAGAATGAACCTGAGACTTACAACATTTTCAAACGTCATAAAGGTTTTGAGCCATAAAGGTTTTACTGAATCAGCAAACAAGTGCTTTTTAAATACAGTATCTTCCTTCAATTTTCCCACTTGTTCTTTTTAACTCTGGACTTTCCTACCACTGAACATCCACAATATACACATTTTCCTTCCCAGTGTTCTCCTTTCCTCTTGATCTCTCTTTCTTGTAGTTTCTTCAGTCACTTCTAACTTCTCTTTTGGAATTAACATGCAAGAGGAAGTTTAAAAGAGCAAGAGTGTTTTATTGACTTCTTCAGCTTTTAGTTCACATCCAGTTTGCCTGCTCTCTGCTCTCTGCTCCTAGGTGTCCTTCAAGTAGTGAAGCAGTGTGTCCAGATCCCAGTTTTTGTGATGATTCGGCCACGTGGAGGTGATTTTTTATATTCCGATCGTGAAGCTGAAGTAATGAAGACTGACATTCGTCTTGCCAAGCTGTATGGTGCAGATGGTTTGGTATTTGGGGCATTGACTGAAGACGGACACATTGACAAAGAGCTGTGCATGTCCCTTGTGGGTAAGAATTTGTGTCTTGAGACCAAAAGCCTCCAATGATGGTGGAATTTACCTGATGAGGATGTGGCGATTTGGATAGGACAAAGTAAACGATTTATATTACTGTGTTGTTAAGTGCTATCGAGTTGGTTCTGACTTACAGCCAGCCCTATATGGGGTTTCCCAGAGCAGCTGGTTTGAACCGCTGGTCTTGCAGTTGGTCATTTTTAATTAGTGCCTCTAAGAAGTTTGTTGTGTGCCATCGAGTTGGTTCTAACTCATAGCAACCCTGTATAAGGTTTTCAAGAGTGGCTGGTGGGTTTGAACTGCTGACCTTATGGTTACCAGTCCAGTGCTTATCCTACAGCACCAAGAAGCGGGCAACCAGTTTTTTTTATGGAAATCCGAGATTAGGGACTCCACTGGCAGAATGAACCTGAGCGTTATAACAGTTTCAAAGGTCACAAAGGTTTTGAGCCATCGATTTTTATTGAACCAATTAACAAGTGCTTTTTAAATACAGTATCTCCCGTTTTGCATTTGTAAGATTGTTATTTTTTATTATTTTAGTTTGCTTTCTTCACTTCTTAGGAGAAGAACCTAGTTTAAAAAAAAAAAACAACAGTCCCACCTTGCATGGAGTCTTCTGTGTGTAGTAATCAGTGTCATCTCTTCGTTCATGTCACTCTGTCCCTTTCTTTTAATAGCCATCTGCCGTCCTCTGCCGGTCACTTTCCACCGAGGTGAGTCATTTCCATTTTAAAAGCTCTATGGAAGGAACAGTATCAGTTTTCTGATTTCTCAAAATGCCATCACCTTTTATGGAACACAGGTCTGAAGATTTATAGTATCACTGGTTCATTACTTTATACTGATCTTAGAACTAAAAATTGTACATTTAGAAATGTACAATTTCTAGAATTTTTGAAGCCTTAGTTATAGAAAGTGGTTAAGAGTAGATATTGCAGGGGAAGGTCTAATATCGAGGGAGGGAAGCAGCATGGCTGCAAGTGCATGACGCTGTCACACCACTGTAAGCAAAACTCCTGGGAGTCCCTCTTAGGTTGCCTCAGGCCTTGTGCATCCCCAAAAGGAATCATTTACCGTGACAAGTAGAATGAAATGTGCTGACTGGACAAAAGCGAGACAGAGTCATGTCTGGAGCTAGTAGTCAGGCCAGCGCCCCGGATGAATGCAGGCTTCGTGGGGTACCTGAAATACCTGGAAATGAAGTGGGTACTGCTGGGAAGGGAAAAGAAGAAATCGGTGCTAGGTAGACACTAAACAGATACCCACTATAATGCACAAAGTCCTGTGTATCATTGGTTACTACTCTGCATCAGAATGATTTCTAATAAATATCTGATTAGATATTTATTAGAATATACTTCCTATCTGCAAATTGGGATGTTGTAATTCCAGTATGCTCAGGCCAAGCACTGGTGAAACAGAAGAAGCCAGCTTTGCTTTTAGAGGGCATTGTCATTGCACATGAAAGAAGCATTGAGCCAGGCGATGTGTTTGGCTTCATGATATACTTGAGAAAGATGCCGAATGCTTTCCTGTCCTTTCAAATAAGCATCCATAGATTCAGGTCAGAGTGGTCCCCAGCATCTGCATCCATCTATAGATACTAGAGAGAAAGCATTTGTTCCTCACGCTTCTTTATATAGTGAATGATATCAGAAAACTGTTTCCTTTGATTTACTGTTTAAGCCAGCAATGACTACATTATGTTGTTGTTGTTATGTGCAGTGGAGTCGGTTCCTACTCATAGCGACCCTGTACAGGGTTTCTGAGGCTGTAAATCTTTACGGAAGCAGAAAGCCTCATCTTTCTCTCATGGAGCAGCTGGTAGTTTCAAACTGCTGACTGTGAGATTGGCTGCCCGATTCGTAACCACTATGCTACCAGAGCTCCTTATGTTAGATTGCTTAAAAGTCAGCACCTTGAGGTACCATTCTTTGTCCCTCTCCTTCCAAAGTTTTTAAACCTGAAAGTTAATCTAGATTAGTAAACATTTATCTACAAAAATACATAGTTTAAAGTTTGGCATACTAGGTAATTCAAAAAGTACTAGTTATAAAGAGAACATTTTTCTCTTCTTAAACTAAGGAGATGGCTTCAAATTTGTTCTTTTTCTTCTAGTCAGTTTAACAAAAGTATTTAAAATGTTCAAAAGTTATCGCTATTTTACGTTCTCCTTGGCTTCTACTGTTTTTTGTATTTTTTTTTTGCTCACAGATGTATTAAGAGAAAGATGGTGTAATGATTGATAGGAATGTGCTGCCTTTAACAAAGGAAAATCCTCTGAGGTAGACGTAGCTGCCTAGACGCCTAATGGGGTCTGTCTCTCAGAGGGCCACGAGCACCTAGCCAGTCTATCCCTAGGTCAGAACTTCCAGGTGGTAGCGTTACTTAGAACCGAAATAGGTCAGTTTTCTGTGTTGAAACTCCTAATGTTACTTTTGTCTCTGATGATTCTGAGGAAGGGAGGGGTCTCTCAGAAAGTAGGAAGGAGCTGAAACCTCCCGTAGTCTGTATTCAGACTGTGGTGTGCTGGTAAGTTGGCTGTGGGACAAGAAGAGTCCTGATTTGTGGCACTTGCTGATTTCTGTGGTGCAAATACGCCTCCTTAACTAATTTTAAGCTACCGGTGGATTAATAACCTGGCTTGCAAAGTTGCTGGATGTTTTACAGTTGACTCTTTCAACCTAGTATAAACCAAGTCTAGCACACCTGTATGCTTAGTACATTTTGGGAAATCCTGTATTGCAGGCTACCTGTTGACAATTGAAATGTTCTTTCTTTTAGCCTTTGACATGGTTCGTGATCCAGTGGTAGCACTGGAGACCCTCTTGACCCTGGGGTTTGAACGAGTGTTGACCAGTGGATGTGACAGCTCCGCACTAGAAGGGCTGCCCCTAATAAAGCGACTCATCGATCAGGTATCCAGTTTTTCTCCTGAAGACTCTGGTGTGATTACTCGGGACTTTCTGTTGTTCAGTGAGGTTGTGAGAGTAATGACTGACTTCGTGGTACTCTGAAGGAAAAAGCAAGCAGGCAGTGATACCGTGATATAGTCCTGATAGCTCTCACATGCATGCTTTCTAGGAACCAAGGCTCTTCAAACTGTAGATGGTGCCTAAGGATCTAAACAAACTTGGATAGCCACAGCCAATTTTACCTTTCCTCTGCTCTCTTGGATAGCATTGATTTAAACCACAACTTCCTACTGTCAGCTTAGGTCCACTCAGGAGCCCATAAAACATTTATGAGTTCATTATTTGGAGGTATAGTTCAAAACTAAAATGATATTCTTCTCCTTTTATGTGTCTCACAAAGTAGAAGGAACCCTGTTTTTCTCGTGTCCCCTTGTAAGTTACTATCATCTGCAGAGCCGTCAAAGGCCAGCGTAGTGTGTCTTTGTTTCTTTGACACCATTGCAACAGCGTTCTCAGTTCTAATCCATAGTGTGGACTTGGAGGTCAGAGAGGTGTGGGGTGAGATTCATGTTTGACATTTATTTCCTCTATGATATTGAGTCCTGGTATGGCACTGTGGGATCAGTCACTGGACCACAAAGTTGGCAGTTCAAACTCACCACATGAGTCGGGACCGACTCGATGGCACTTAACAACAACAACATGATATTAAGTAGGTTACTACTATTTAAGCCTATTTCCACATGTGTGAAATTGAGAAAACTTTAATAACTCCTTTATATAGTTTCTCTCAAGGTTGGGACACAAAATATATCAAAGACATAGCACCAGGGCTTGGCATGTAAATTTCAAAACATGTTAGTTTATATTATGATCGCTGCTATTAATATTAGTTATTTGTATAGATATCCGATTATCTGAAAAACACTTCAATTGATTATCTGAAAGCAATTTTATTTCCACTTCTATATAGCCATGAAGATCACTTTCAGCAGTTTTGCTTAAGGACCTGAGGTCACGTTACAAAACTGTATGGCGCCAATCACTCCTCCCACAGCACTCTCAGCCTCTCTGTTGGCTTCCATCGTCTGTTCACTGGCCACATAGGACTCAGAGTCAGTTACAGGGTTTATTGGGGAAATTAGCAGGTTACAATACAGGATCAGAAATGCCCAGGGCACAGCTGTTCCAGTCCCTGGTCACACCACTCCACCATCAGCCTCAGCCTGAAGGCACTTGGCTCTAGTTTGGTGGGTCAGCAAGCCTAGCCCCCTACTTAAGTGCATGGAGGCACCCCACTCCACAAGGAAGCTTCCTGCCCCCAAACCGCTCACCTTTCCTTGGTCTGTCTCATGCTCTGGTTCTTGGTTCTGCTGCCGGTGGTCCTCTGCCAGTCCTCCAGTGTCACAGCTTTCTGTCCCTAGGTGGAAGAGGTTCAGTGGACAAGGATCTCGAGGTCCCAAGGACAAGTTCCCCCACTGAATCTCCTTCTTTGATGGTAGTGAGATCCCCCCCTTCTGATTCTGTGATGGCTCATTTTAAACCCATGCTAGAGTTTCAAGTTTTTACAGTTACAGTTAACTCTGCTAACACCCACAGCTGAATCACATCATTATCTTCTCCCACCTTGTCTTCCCCAGATTTCGCAGGGCAGAAATGTAGTTTGGTGAGAGTTACAGAATATGTGTGGCTCGAAGAGACATTAGATAATTTGCTACACCACAGCTAATTTGAAATTTACTAATTTTATAAATGTTCATTAAGTACATATTTTATGGTGACCAAGGTGTGTGAGAGAAGAATGAGCAGAATTTTTAAACCTTGTTGAAGAGTTTGCATGTTAATCTTGTGTCAGTGGGAAAGCCTGAAGGGTTTTCAAATAGGAGAGTTGATGAATCAGATTTCATTTTACAAAGGTTATTCACTACAGAGTAGAGAATAGGGTCGATAAAATTGCCATACTCTTGTATCACATTTCAAAATATGTGCATGTGTGTGTGTGTGATTTGTTGGTTAATCCTTGGTTGGCAGAAGACCTAGATGAAATATTCTCATACATTGACTTAACTTCTTGAAGTAATTTCCTACCAGTATAACATACTAGTTGAAAGCACAGGCTTTGGGTTTAGACAGGCCGGGTTTAAATCCTGGCTTCACCATTTATTAACAGAGATGTGGGACAAAGTACCTAGCTGTCTTAATGCCAATGCCCTCACTGCAGAGTTAGGATAGCAATACTACCATCTTCCTGGAAGGGCTGCAAGGGAGCACATCAGACAACAACACATGGCTGACACTCAAACTCAGTGCCTTATCAGACCAACATAGTCACCGGCAAGACCACATGCCTGCTCATGTATTCCCCTTGAGTCTCAGTCTTGGAAGGCGGTTTGCACTGAGGGGACCCAACCGCTTGCCTTGATGGCTCCCCGGCGAACAACTTGCTTGTTCGTGTAGTAGTCGATCAGACTGCCATTACAGTTTTTGATGTTTCCTGCTGGTCTTTTCTTTCAAGATCCTCACTTTCTTTTAACTAAAAATACTTGGAATCCTATTTTGCAGAATGGCTTCTCCAATGTATCTAGTGGTTTGGAGCTACTGTAGAATTTGGGGTTGGAGTCTTGGTGTGGCACTGTAGGATAAGCACTGGATTGCAACGTTGGGTTGAACTGCAAGGTCGTCAGTTCAAACTCAGAGCTGACTCGATGGCACTTAACAACAAGCTAGACTTAAGGAGCCTTGGTAATATATGAGTTGAGCTGCTAACCGCAAGGTCAGCAGTTCAAATCTGCCAGTCACTCTATGAGAGAAAAATTAGGTTTTCTGCTCCCATAAAGATTTATGGCCTTGGAAACCCTGTGCAGGGCTGCTGTGAGTGGGAACCAACTTAACCACCACCACCACCCTAGTGTTTGTTGCTATTACATAAAGATCCTCAACAGACAACCTTATTAAAGTTATAACCCTAACTTTGCCCTGAGAGTACATTGAAGCACATGAAAGTGTAACTCATTTTAAAAGTGAGGGGGAGAGTTGTCTCTTCCTCTGCTGTGACCTTTCCTTCCTTCTATTGTTGATGTTGTTAAGGCCGTTGAGTCGGTTCTGACTCATAGTGACCCTGTATAGGGTTTCCAAGGAGTGACTGGTGGGTTTGCACCACTGGCCTTGTGGTTGGCAGGCCATGCTTATCCTCCAGTACTGCACCAGGACTCAGTTAGTACTTTCCTTTGTCACAGTTTTTGTTCTATCATTGCTGTTAAAGACTTTCCACTTCTTTTCCTGTCTTTGCATTTGTTATTTCTGGTGTTAGCTAGTTTTCCCTTTACTCCCTTCTCTATTTCTGTTCCTTCGGCCTTTTTCCATCCTTTCTTCTTTTCCCATCTGCCCATCATCTCACCTTGTACACTCTACCTTTATTTTTTCTCCATTTTCTCCTCCCTACAGTCAGCCAATCTTTCCATTTTCTCATTTATCTTATCTGGACATGATATAGAACTGAGTATCTTTTTCAACATTTATTATGCTTATTGAATACATTAGTTGAGTGTTTCTTTTGTTTTATGGAATAAGAAACTAAGTTGCATGTGATTCTTGATAGAATTTTTACTGTAGTTAAATAGCGTTCAAGACAATATTCTGTACCTAGTCCTGAGTATATACGCAGGTTGGACAGTTGAGGCAGATGACTTGGAACTATAATGGCTGGCAGGACTGGCTAGTCCAGCATTTAAAATTCACCTCAGGAAATATATACATGAGAACATTTATATATAATTTAATTGATTTTATTCTGCAAATTAATAAGTTTGACTTGATATATAATTTTTATTTTGTCATTGGTACCTACTTGCTTTCAGTAGTTCCACCAGGCATGCATTTTATAATGGGGTGATTCATTTTGACTCTCTGTGATATTGAGTAAACCATCAAAACTTATTTAAGAAATGAAATTTTGAATTAAAATTTTCATGAAAGTGAAAGAATTTTAGTATTTATCTTCCAGAATTGTCAGGAAATTAAAAATTTCATCTAGTCTATAGTTTTGTTATTTAAAAACCAGTTAAATGGACCTATGGCTTTGTTGTTTAATTGGGGGTATTATTACATAGGGGAAATATAGTTGGGGATACAGAATTTGAATGGATTTTTTTTTCCAGTCACCTATTTATTTAGAATTAGGCTTATGCTGTTTCTTCTCAGGAACAACTTTACTTAAATTCAACTACTTCCCATTTCATACCAATAATTGTAAGTAGTGTCCTATTTTAGTCATGATACTTCTGAAGGTGGTGTGATTATGTAGCATTTATATTGGATTGTAGGATTTGTGTTCATAATAGTGCAAGTCTTTAAAGCAACATAATAAACTTTCTGAACAGAAAAAGCTTTACTACTATACATCTTGCTTGTGCAAGATTCCAAAGAAATACAGAGCTATTGGAAATTAGACATTTAATAGTAAGGTTTTCAATTTTTACTACACGTTGACTCATGTTTCTGCTCTCATTACTTTATCCCATTTAAAAGGATATTAAAAATTTCTTTTTTTTCTGTTTTTTTTTCAGGCAAAAGGCAGGATTGTGGTAATGCCAGGTATTTATTTATATTCACGAGCTATAGCGCTGATCTGCAGTAGAGGAAGACCAAAGGAGGCAGGAAAAATGGGTGGAAATATTAGTACATGGTGCTAGGAGATAACATTAATTAAAATACTTAAGATTGGGGGAACTGGGCCGGAAGGCACTGGGATGCTAACCAATAGATTAGACACTTTGGAAGAAAGGCCAGTGGTCCACTTCCAAAACATTCACTATTGAAAATCCTGTGGTGCACAGTTGTACTCTGATACACATAGGGTCACCATGAGTGGGAATCAACACAACAGCAACTGATAGTGGTATTGGTTGGTGTAGTGGAATTAGAAAATTTCAAGAAGGGGGTTTTGAGGAAAGAACATTCTAGCAGAGATTAGCTCAGAAAAGAACAAATAAATAAGTAAATTGGACTGGGGTTTCTCCATGTTTGCTCTCCCCTGGTGTAGACAATTGTGACTCCCACGAGGCACAACAAGCATTGAGACTCAGATGTTACAAGTAGTATTTATTTAGGTCACAGCCCTGGGTAAATATGATACTCTCCCAATTTCTGAAAATCTTTGATCTCCAAATTCCTCCTTATAGCAAGAATAATTTGATCATATGCTCTTGATGAAAGCCATAAGATTAATTTTTCTTTAGAAATGATACTTTGTAAAGAATTAGACAAAGTGACCTAGAATCAGGGAGACATATAGAAAAGGCAATCTTTATTTTTTCTTCTTTTGAAACTTACCAGTTTAAAACATAAAAAAGTAAAAGATAGATAGCATAATGAGTCCCCATCTACCCATCCCTAGATTGAACATTTTGCTGCACTTCCTTAGTCTTTTATTCTTGAGCTATTGTAAAGTTAAATTACAGGCATCATGATATATTATCTTTATACATCTTTAAAAAAAATAAGGCATTTTTCTATAAAACCACAATACTACAATCACACCTATCAAAATGCTGATTCCCTGATACCATTTAATACTCAATCCATACTCATCTTTCTCCATTTGTCCCCAGAATTTTTTCTACAGCTGTGTATTCAGTCCAAGGTCAAGGAAAAGCACTGCGTTTGATTGTTATCTTTCTCAATGTCTTTTTTTCTCTCCCTAATAATAAATGGTGCTTTCTCAAAATTACTGAACAAGAGCTACCATGTAGCCCAGTAACTCCATTCTTAGGTGTATACGCAAGGGACTTAATTCTTTTAATGTAGACATTTTCCTTTTCTCTTTACTGCTTTAAAGAAAGCAAGAAAGAAGTAAAAAGGAACTGCTCTCTTGTCCTGTAAAACACCTGACTTTCTGGCTTTATCAGATAGTTGCTTTTGCTACTATTTAACTTGTTCTTCTGGACTCTATAGTCTCTATAAACTGGTGGTTAGATCATAAAGTTTGATGATCTTCTGGTTAAATGTTTTTGGACCGATTATTTTGTGAGGCTGTCTGCTTCATTTTCTATCATATTACAAGGCATCTCAGTATAAGTGATGCCAAGAATGCTCATGGAGTAAAATGATGGCAGTCAAATAAAAAGAAATGAGTAAACAGAGACCAAGAAGAGGGATAGCATCAGAAATTTAGAAAGACTTTGATCTGCAGCAAGTCCCTGAAACATGAGCAGATATAAAACTTAAACTATCAAAGCCTTTTATAGATTTATCAAAGGAGCCCTGGTGATGCTGTAGTATAAACACTGCACTCCTAACTACAAAGTCAGCAGTTCAAACCCACTAGCCTCTCTGTGGGAGAAAGATGAGGCTGTCTGCTCCTATAAAGGTTTACAGCCTCAGAAACCTGATACAGGGTCAGAATTGATGGCAGGGAAGTTTTTGTTTCATTTTTTAAACCTGGTGATTGACAGTGGATTTGCAGGAGACAAGATCTGGTGATGTACTCATGTAAAGAGTGACCCTGGGGAACCCTCCAGGGCAGTTCTACTGTGCCCTGTAGTTGGAATCCTCTCAAAGGCACAGAACATCCACAGTATGTGTTAATCAGAAAAGATTAAAGCAACTTACTGAATCGGATATATTTCTGTTTAAGACTAAATTTACATCTATTTTCACATTGACAACCAATACCTAGATTTCTTCTTGTTATGTGCCATCAAGTCGGTTCTGACTCTTAGTGACCCTGTATAGGGTTTCCAAGGAGTGGCTGGTGGGTTTGAACAGCTGACCTTACAGTTTAGCAGTTCAGTGTTTCTGCTACTGTGCTACACCACGACTCCAGACTTAGACGATTATTAAAATAAAAAGTATCTCAGCTTAATATATAACTGTTACGTTATCTGCTATATGCATGGCATTACTTTGGGTATAGAGTTACACAAGAAACTTACTTCCTCAAGAGGCTTATAGTCTTAAGTGGGAAGATGTTACATACAAAAATATTGTGATTAACTTACTTAACAAGACTTAACCAAGAAAACGCTAATTATATGCTAGACTTTGTGCATATATGAAAATTTAGAAATGAATATGAAATAATTCTTTTTTACAGAATAGAACTGTAAACAAATTATTATAATTTCTGATAAATATGTATCAGCAAGTAAACAATTCCTAAGCCAAGTCAGCCTGAATGTCTAATGTGTGCTTATCATTGGAAAATGTAAAGATGAGTAGAACATAGTATTTGCTCTCTAGGGACTTTCGTAATGAAACTTACAACATACTTGGCTCCATTTTTCTGATCTATAAAGAAAGAATATTGAACTAATTCTTCTCTGTGGACCCTTTTAACTCTGAACCTGTGTTAGTTTGTATTTGGAAGACATAATTCCTATGTACTAAAGTTATGGATAAGTGAGCAACGTGTTCAGTGGCCAGATATTTTGTTATTTGTTAGAAGGGAATAGCATAGTTGTCTCTATTTTAGTCCTTACAATATGCTTGAGAGGTCGGCAGTATTACCTCATTTTCATTGGTGAAAAAATAGAGCCTCAGTACATTTAAGTCATTTATCTAGCTAGGCTCACTCAGCTATAAAGAGCTACACTGGGAGAGCCAGGGTTCTAGTCAAATCTGCTGTCACGGTCTATGTACTTTATACATCATAAGGTCAGTGATATTACTATACCACTAAAAGGAAAAAAAAACAAGTTAATGAGTCTGAAAGAGTGTAGACAAGTTACTTCTTCAACTTGAATAGCTTCAGTACAAAGTCAATTATGTAGCCAGTCATTCAAAAATATTTATTGAGAAGAATAAAGGAATTTCATATTTTCAATCCATTGTTATCAATTCAGATTATATCTAAAATGCTTAAGAGAATATGAATTGTTCATCAAAACAAATGAGTCATCGTAAGTTTGTGGCTGTGCAATTTTAGTAAAGTGAAATCAGATTCTTTTGTGAGATGAAGTGAAAATTTGGTACAGTACAATAATGAATCATCTACTTAATGCCTTAACTTATTCCCATTTCTAATGAGATCAGCACACTGTGAATCCTGGGCCTTCAGCGTTCTCCTTCTCAGACACTACGCTCTGAGGCTGCTTCCTCAAGTCTCCTCTGTGGTTTGAACTTGATTTTGCTGTAGTTGAGGGGAGAGCAGAGCTGGAGTGCTCAGTGATTTTCTTCAAGCCCATTGAACACTTGCCACAGAATTATTTTTCAGACTTTAAATCAGTAACATAGCTTTATTATATAAACTAGTGGAGTCCTGGTGTGGCACTAGAGAATAAGTATTGGACCTCAAGATTGATTTTGAACCAAAAGGTGGTGGTACAAACCCACCAGCCACTCTTTGGAAACCCTATCCAGAGTTGCTGTGAGAAGGAACCAACTCAAAGGCCCTTGACAACAACAAAAGGGAGAAACAGGAACAACCTGTTTATAGGTTCTATCTTATAGGTTCTCTGACCTCAACAGTTCTTCTCCCGAGTCTTTAGTCTGCATCATTTATCATTTTTTTTCAAATCTCATTCTAGCTTAGCTGGGAGATGGTAGTTCTTGAATTCCTGAGAAGTTTCATTAGAGCAAGCAGTACTCACTAACTTTTATGTAACATCATATTCTCATGATTGTATTATTTATTCTTTCCAACAGGGGGTGGTATAACAGACAGAAACCTGCAAAGGATCCTTGAAGGTTCAGGTGCTACCGAATTCCACTGTTCTGCTCGGTCTGCTAGAGACTCAGGAATGAAGTTTCGGTAAAAATGTGTTGTTTGACTCATATAAGAAGGGGTGCAATTAATCTTTACTTCCCCAAATTGGAAAATCTTAGTTAATGGCATGATTAGTGAGTAGAATGTTATGATGAACAAATTATTGCAAGAATTTCTGCAGTTGTAAAACAATCCTGAAATGGTTCTTGTCTTGCCTTAAATAGGCACGTTTTTCTGTACATAGTTGAACCTGTAGTGAATCTGTATTGCTGAATTTAGACCAATTACTGATGTTTTAATGCAACAGCTCAGCTTCAAATGAGGCAAATATGTGCATGTGCCCATTTACCTGTGCTTTCCTTGAGCTAAGGAAAAGCTATCATGTAGGAACAGAAAACATACAGTCTTCCCTTCCCTTTGCTCTCCATTCTCAGTTCTCTTGAAATGATATCACTATTAAGGAATTGTGAAACTAGTATGTGTTTTTTATTATGCTTGATAAAAATCCCTGTAATAGTTGGTAGTTGATTATTTTTATTTATGAGTTGGGAAAAAATAAGATGTACAAGAATTAAGGGCCTTAAAATGCAGATTTCTAGATAGAAAATCAAGTATGCTGTCTGGTAGATTTGGTTCCTTGATGTCTCAAGTAATTAAAGTAATGAAAATGATGGGATCTGGTGGTAACCCTGGGTTCCTGATCTATCCTCGTTCTTGAGCCATGAACTAGCCTGTAAGATGAAGTACCTCTCAGAAGGCTCCTTCAGTGAGAGCTTTTCCTAACAACTTATATAATTATATTCCTTTGTTATTTCTGTTGCAGAAATTCCTGTGTTTCCATGGGAGCCTCATTTTCTAATTCAGAATATTCTCTGAAGGTAACAGATGTGACCAAAGTTAGGACTTTGAATGCCATTGCAAAGAATAGCTTGGTATAGCCAGACTTCTCTAAGCGACATGGGTACTAAAGGATGAAGGTAGAAGTATTGCCCACAACTGTCTGTGACGCGGCTTTAACCATCTTTTTTTAAGTCTCACATGGCTATGGAGAACGTTTCCAAAGAAGAGTAAGAACTTGAAACAGCTGTAGTTACTTTCTTTGCCAGCCATCCCTGTCTTCATGGTTAAATCTGAAAATCTGATGGCAAAGTATGAATTTAAACCATGATTTCAAGGTCAATTCAATAGGAGTATTTTGCATTTTCATTTGTAAAATAAAAATGTCTATTCTCTTTTGGTCCAGTCTGTTATTTTTTCCTTAAATACAGTCTGTAGCAAAGTATAAAAGGGATGGGTTTTGTGGGGTTTTTCCCTTCCTTTTTTCTTTTTGTTATATATTCACTGAATATGCAATCCTGGGCAAGATGCCAAGGGTACCAGAGTAAACTGGTGTCACATAAAAATCTCCAGACGTGGGAAGTAGGATATAAAAGTTCCCAGATTTATAAAGGAAGATGTGATCACTGGAATTTACAGGTTACTTCTGAGTCTAATTCAAGGTAGAAAAATGGCTTAACTGTAAGGTCTGGTAAGAACTGAAGATGTTAGGGGAGTTATCAAATTAGTTACTTCTTCCTTTTAACTGAGGCCATGGATAAGGGAGGATAGATTCTAGTGATGAAACATGGTTTCCCTATAAGGTCATCATTCACTTTATTGTTAACGTTCAATTAATCTGATTTTATACTGGAAACACAGAGTTACTAGAGCTGTTTTCCCAGTTTTAGGAGAGTATCTGAAACACAGTATAAAAAGTTTGGTTAGGAAACTAATAGAACCTCTATGAAAAGCACACAGAGATTTGGACATTAATGGATGTGCACATGAAGAGCCTAGCCTTTATTTTAAATGTGTCCCTCTAAATCTTAGTTCTCCTGTTTTCAAGTACCATTTCAGGGTAGAGTATTTGCTAAGTAATTTTTGATAATAGGAGAAGCAAATTAAAACTAACAGTAACCTTAGTGATGTCGCTTCTTATTTGTTCAGGCTATTATAAAAGGTAATTAACACTAACCAGTTTGTATTATTGGTTTTAAAAACCAGATACAAATACATAAGCAAAATATAAACACACATGTTGAGCATTTTGACCTCTCTTCCCTACGCATAAACTTTACTGTGTGATCCTCCAGTGATGATTAAGAGCAGGCCATATTGTCATTCATTTGTTGAAACATTCAATTGGCATTCCGTCAATTCCTGGAATCTTTTTTTTTTTCACCCTTCAATGCAACTTGGGTTACATCCTTCAGTACCGTTGATTCTTGGTGTCTCCTGAAATGGATGAATATTGACCAGTTTTTTCGGTACAGTGATTCTGTGTTTTCCTTCCATCTTCCTTTGATGCTTCTGACATTGTTTTGTTATTTTACCCATAGAATCCTTCAATATTGCAACTTAAGACTTGAATTTGCTCTTCACTTCTTTCATCTTGAAAAATACTGAACATGTTCTTCCATTTTGGTTTTCTAACTCCAGAGCTTTGTACATTTCATTATAATACTTTACTTTGGTTTTTTGAGCTGCCCTTGAAATCTTCTATTCAGCTATCTAATGTCATCATTTCATCTTTTCACTTTAGTTTCTCTATGTTCTAGAGCAAGCTCTAGAGTTTTTCTGACATCCATTTTGGTCTTTTCTTTCTTGGCTTTCGAATGACCTTTTGATTTTTCATGTATGATGTCATTGGTGTCATCCCACAACTTGTCTGTTTTTCAGTCATTGGTACTCATTGCATCAGATCTGTTTTTGAGGTGATTTCTAAATTCAGGTGGAATATACTCAAGGTCATACTTGGGCTCTTGTGGACTTGTTTTAATTTTCTTCAGCTTCAACTTGAACTTGCATCTGAACAATTGATGGTTTGCTCTGCAGTTGGCCCTTCGCATTGTTCTGACTGATAATATTGAGCTTCTCTATCATCTCTTTCCACAGATGTAGTCTATTTGATTTCTGTGTATTGCAGCCAGTAAGGTTTGCATGTGTAGTTATGTAAGTCAACTGAGATGTTTCAAACAACAGATGCTGCGCTGGAAGTGTTCACTCATCCATGCTAAGGAATTTGGAAGACAGCTACTAGGCCATCTGACTTAAAGAGATACATATTTGTGCTCATTCAAAAGAAAGATGATCCAACAGAATGTGGAAATTATCAAACAGTATCATTAATACTGGGAACACAGTGGCTCCATAAGATAAGCACTGGACTATGAACCACAATATCTGTGGTTCAAGCCTACCAGCTTCTCCATGGAAGAAAACTGAGACTTTCTGTTCCTGTAAGGATTTTTAAAAGCCTCGGAAGCCCTGTAACAGGGTTGCTGTGAATTAGAACCAACTTGAAGCCATTTAACAAAAACAAGTGTAACAAATCATTTATATCACATAAAAAGTTTTAACGAAGATAATTCAAAACTGGTTTCAGCAATACATCAACAGGAAACTGCCAAGAATTCAAGCCAGATTCAGAAGAGAAAAGTGGAATGAGGGTTATTGTTGCTGATATCAGATGGATCTTGGTTGAAGGCAGAAAATACCAGAAAGATGTTCACCTGTGGTTTATTGACTATGCATTCAGCATAGCATGGATCAAAACAAATTATGGATAGCATTGTGAAGAATAAGAATTCCAAAACATTTCATTGTGCTCATTAAGTGAACCTTGTACATAGATAAGAGGCAGTTATTTGAACAGAACAAGGGATACTATATGATTTAAAATCAGGAGCGTTGTCTATCTATCTGGGTTGTATCTTTTCACCATATATACTGACTATATACTGAGCAAATGATCTGAGAAACTGGACAATGTGAATAGGAACACATATCAAGGTTGGTGGAAGAGTCATTAACAACCTATGACATTCAGATGACACAACCTTGCTGGCTGAAAGCAAAGAGGATTTGAAACACTGACTAATGAAGATCGAATCGTGCAGCCTTCAATCTGGATTGTTGTTAAGTGCCGTTGAGTCTCATAGTGACGCTGTATAGGGTTTCTGATGAGTGCTGGTGGATTTGTGGTTAGCATTCCAGTTCTTATCATACAGGACCACACCAGAACTCAACATAATAATATGGATTATACCTCAGCATAAAAAAAAAGCCTCACCATTGAGCATCACAATAAACAGAGGAAAGATTGAAATTGTCATGATCTTCATTTTGCTGGGATCCACAATTAACATCCATAGAAGTGTTGTTGTTGTTGTTAAGTACCATGGAGTCAGTTCCAACTCATAGTAACCTTGCACAGGGTTTCTGAGGCTGTAAATCTTTACAGGAGCAAAATGCCTCTTCTTTTTCTTGTGGAAGCGCTGGCAGTTTCGAACTGCTGTCCTTGAAGTTGGCAGCCCGATTCGTAACCGCCACGCTATCAGAGCTCCTTCCTATAGAAGTAGTGGTTAGGAAATCAAAAGACATATTGTTGGGCATTCTGCTGCAAAAGTGTTTAAAGTGTTAAAACTGAAAGATGTTACTTGGAAGACTAAGGCGCTCCTGACCCAAGCCATTGTCAATTGCCTCATATGCACATGTGAAAACTGGATAATGAATAAGGAAGACCAAAGAAGATTGATCCCTTTCAGTATGATGCTGGCAAAAAAAATATTAAATATGCCAGAAGAATAAACCAATCTGGCCTGGAAGAAGTGCATACAGAATTCTAAGAAGCAGGGATGGTGATACTTCATCTCACATACTTTGGACATGTTATCAAGAGGGACCAGTCCTTAGAGAAGGACATCATGCTTGGTGAAGTAGCAGGTCATCGAAAAGAGGAAGACCTTATGGGAATGTATTGACAGTGATTATGTCAGTGGGCTCAAACCTAACGATTGCGAGGATGGTGTAGGACTGGGCAGTGTTTCAATCTGTTCTATTTAGGGTCCTTTTGAGTGGGAACAACAACAAAACATTAAAATAGGACTATCCACAGCCTTTCGTGACTTCTACATTTCTCAATCTTTGAACATATGTTGGTATTAGGAGGACAACAGCTGGAGGAGAAAATTGGAAGAAGGCCAGATAAGCCAGGTGATTGACTTTGGAAAGGACATGGAGCCACTTTGGGAGGAAGAGACGAGCTCTAGAGGGAAAAGTAGGGCTAGGGAAGTGAGCTGGGTGAGCCCAACAGGGCTGGAGCCTGGTGATACAGAGAACTCTGGAGAGAATAGGAAAGAGATTTAAGACGATTTGCGCTTGACGTAGGCACTAAAGATTAGACGTTATAGTTGTCTCTGCCATTTCTGTAGTCCTTCAATTGAATGTAATAATGTAATTATTTGTAATAATTTTGGTGTTTAATACTATGTTGAAAAGTAAATAGGAAGTTTATATTTATTCCACTGTATTAAAATTGATTGTCACCCCACCAGCTCAGTAACAAGATCTTTTCTTCCTTTCCTTGGTTTTCACCTCCCTACTTCAATTCTGGAAAACCTGAATTAGGGGAGGAGGAATTGTAAAGTAAGGGGAAAGGAGAGAGAAAATACATGTCTCCCAGCAATATCTGGTACCTGAACCAAATACAGGTTAGAGATTTAAATGGATGTGGTTTCTTTGGTAGGGGGGTGGGGGGGGTGATAAAAATGTTCTAGATTGTCAAGATTGTTGTAAAACTCTGTGAATATATTACCCCCTTGAATTGCACACTTCACATAGACAAATTATATCTTAATAAAAGCTGATACAAAAAAAAAGTTGGAAGAGAGAAATTTTAAATTAGATTGGCTTGGATCTTCTAATGCTTGGACGTGACAAAAAAGAAAAAAAAAAAGGCTATCGGAGAAGGAGCCAGTCTACAGAACGAATTGTCTACACCATCACCTCCTCTGCCCTGAGAGTAGAAGACCTAGATGGTGTCTGGCTACCACCACTGAGCATTCTGACCAGGCCCACAGTAGATGGCTCCTGGTAGAATGGGAAACAATGTGGAGTA